GAGGTCATTAAATTCTAAAAACAGGTTCGCACGAACCGGTGCGAACCGGCTGAATCCCACCACTAGCTAATGAGACTTGAAAAAGTGAAACTGTAGTCCACAGCAGAGGGTACTGTAAATCAAAGAATGCTATGGGCACAGATTCTCTTTCAATTTCACCTCTGGTGAAAAAGAAAATGAATCTTTAAGATATGTACGGTAGTACTTAATAGTAGGGATCGCGATTAAACAAAATGGCGGCCATAAAAATCGCTTGTTTAAAACAACCTTTAAAATGTCTGAATATTAACAATGACTATTTCACAGTATTGGCTGAGAAAAACTAAAGCTTATTTGTTTATGGAGTGAATCGAAATTGCACTATTTTAAAGAATTTTCATTTATGTAAGTAAGTAACTTTTCCAGACAAGCGTACAGAAAAAATGACGAACCTTATCGCTCTAATTCTTTCACATAACTCTTCTATCTGGGGTCCCAATGATCCCTTTCTTGTAATAAAATCTAATCGGGTAAACGCGCGCCTCACGCTTGGTATTGACTGGCGAACAAAAATATAGCAAATAAAAATGAAACAAACAAATATATTTTTTTTAATTTTATAAAGACAAGTAGAGATCGATATGTATGTAACCTAGTTACCTGTAGTAATATAGAAAGTTTTAATGCTGCAAAAAGTATTGAAACAAGTCAAAATTACAAAAACTGAGTTGCTTAAAATTTTAAAAAGATTATCTTTCCTTTGGCTCAGACTAACATAATTACAGTGATTTCCCAAAGTAAGGCTATTTTCTTTTTAATTTTTAGCAACTCAGTTTATGTCGTTTATACTTTTTGTTTCAATACTTTTTATAGCATCAAAACTTTTTATATTACTATAGTTACCTAGGTTACATATATATCAATCCATATTTGTCTTTATAAAATTATTTTTTCTTATGCATGTATATACTAGCTGTACAACTGGTTTGTACGTTAAACAACCTAGACAAAGCGCCCCCAGTGGCACAGCGGAATTTCTATGGACTTACAACGCTAGAAACCGGGTTTCGATACCCGTGGTGGAGAGAGCACAGATAGCCCATTGTGTAGCTTTGTGCTTAATTCCAAACAAAGCTACTCCACGATTTATTGAGAAAGTATTGGACCAAAGATTCACATCTTTTCGCAGATGCAGTCAGACTGGATTGTGCCCTAATACAGAGTAATAGTAGGTGTTATACTGCGAGAATGAAGATTGTTCATCTTGAAACAGAAACAACGGAAAACGCCAGGGACGGGGCTATACTAGTTAATATTTATTTTTGCCTGATGTGGTATTTTTAACTTTAAAATTAAGGGTACTCGTATTCTACAAGCAATGTATTTTTAATAAAACTCCATTGATTCCATAAATGTTACTCTTAAAATGTATTTTAATTTTAGGCTTCAGTTCAATATTTAATATCACGGTGATTTGTTTGTTTGTTTGTAATTAAGCACAAAGCTACACAATGGGCTATCTGTGCTCTGCCCACCACGGGTATCGAAACCCCGATTCTAGCGTTGTAAGTCCGCAGACATACCGCTGTGCTATTGGGGGAGCTATCACAGTGATTAGAAATTAAATATGTTAGTGATTCACATTCAGCCATTTCACAGACCAGAATTTCACTAGTTGTAGTTATAAAAAACACCGTATTTTGCTAGCCAATTTAAAATACTGTTACGTCTCTGGTCGTTAGTTAATTTTCCGTATAATTTCTTTCCGATGAAACTTTAGCGACACGAGCCCTTTCTTAAATAAAACTAATTTATTCTTTCTCAATTCAACTTTCCAATACACTTAATTTCCACAGCCAATAAATACACGTTATAATTCACAGGGAGCGATTCACGCACTTACTTACTACCGCGCTTGACTCAATTGTCCGTCTCTGTCTGTCTGCAATTCTATCCCGATTAATTGTCTGGCGCACATATATACAAGAATAGAGGGCGTCTAGCAAATACTTGATTATTCGTGATGTTCCCCGATCTTTCTAGAACGCATTACGTGTTACCAGAGTCACGTGACTTCTGCTATCGTAACAATACTTTAGATTGGTTATGAAAATGAGTTATTACAATTTGGATGATTAAATGGTACAACATAGAAATTTTACATAAAACTGCTTTTGATACATCAGTGAGGGTTACCCTTACTTTAACATTTCGAAATGTTCTGATAACGAACATGTACAACAACTGTATGAAATTGAAACTAAATATTACATATTCAGTTAATTTTGCTTTACAAATATATATATGTGTGTGTGTGTGATTTTTGTCATTTACGTTGCTTGAATTATCTTATTTCCCAAATTTGAAACGTCATGATGAAGTTCTTGTTGACTTTTTTTGATAATTTTACTAGAAATTTTAAAG